GAGGAGGAGGAGGAGGAGGAGGAGGAGGAGAAGAGGGCGGCGCGCGGCACGCCGACCTGCCTCTCCCTGGAGAGTTGACGCTCCCAGGAAGCCTGGAGAGCGGACGGTTTTTTCGGCCATGCTCGACCTCTGGGGGCCCTCGCCTTGGCCTCGGGAGCGTCAGGAACGGCTCGGGCCGAGGAGGCCGCCCCGGGGAAGTGGTCCTGCAGACCTCCGGGGCCCATGCCTCGAAAATATTATCGGAGCAGCCGGCTGTCTGGCTTCGTAGGCTTCGTCGGCCACGCGCCGCTTTGACTCTTGCGGTGCCCCCGCTGGGCCCCGCCTCGGCAGGAGAGCGCCGGCGCAGCTGCCGCCTCGGTCCCCGCCGGCGGGGCTGGCCGCGCCAGCGCACCCAGGGGCGCGATCCGTCCGCCCTGCGTGGCCCTCAGTTGTCCTCCCTCTCTCTGCGGCCGCCTCCTCTGTCCCTTTTCCCGCTCTTGCCTCCAAGCAGTGGCGAAGCGTCCTGGCTCGCCCAGAGGCCCACCAAGGCATATTCTAGTAACCTTTTGTGGTCTGCACGACATGTTCTTATAGAGCATTTCTGGCCTGGGACTGTCTGGTTTTAACACATCGGGCTTATGTTCTAATAGCTTTGTTCTTGTTCTTAGAACATTCTGGGATTCTAAGAACATGTCGTGGTAGGCCAATAGGAACGCCGGGACGGTCGGTTCCCGCCTTTGCATGTTGGTCAACTCGCTACAACGGTACCCCCGTTTGGCTAGCTCGCGTCGGCCCCCAGGAGTCTGGACCCCTCCCCCCGGACAGCTTTCTCCTCCCGTGCAGTTTTTTTTGTTTTCGGGCGGCCCCGAGGCCCGGTGATGGCCCCCAATGAGGCCGAAGATGACGAGCAGCCTGCCGCTGACATTTTTACTCGTCTCCACAACGCGAGGGGGGCCTGGGCCGCGCACCTCCTCACTCCATCCAGCCTCCAGGGGCTGCTTTGCTCCGCGCCTCCTGAGGTGCGGCCGGGCGCTCGCTCTCCCGGCTCCCGCGCGCCGCGGCCTCGGCGCCCTCTCGGTGGCGCGCCGTGGCGCCGGCGCCGCGCCGTGGCCCGTGGCCCCTGCGCGGGCGATGCAGGTCGAACGCCGCCAGTCAGAGCCCCGAATCATCAGGGGTAACTCGGGTCAGGGTGAACTCGGGTTCGTGCTTCGGGAGTCCAAGCCCGAGTTACCCCGGACCCGAGTTACCCCGGATATTTCGGGCGTCCGGAGCCCCACATCATCAGGGGTAACTCGGGTCAGGGCTAACTCGGGTTCCTTTTCCGGGAATCCACAGCCGAGTTACCCCGGACCCGAGTTACCCCAGATAACTCGGGCGCCCAAGCCAGGGGCCCTGAGTCTGCCGAATGCAACGATTCGGCGGTCACCAGAGGAGTACCCAGACAGTTGATGGTATAGATAGATGTACATGTATACATAGTGTGTGTATATATATATATATATATATATATATATATATATAACTGCGTGTAAGTTCTGTCCGCACAGATGTGCACACACATGTATACATGCTCATATCCACTCCGTATCCTTCCCAATCCCTTTTCTATAAGATGCATGTGTGCATGCATGCATGTTTGTACGCATGTATACATACTACATATGTATAGTTGCGCACGTACCTATGCATGCATGCATGTGTGTATGTATGTATGCAGGTAGGTAGTTAGGTAGATAGGTAGGTCGATAGGTAGGTATTTATGTATGTATACATATATATATATATATATATGCATGTATGTACATCTGCATATATGTATATATAGATAGTTGTATGCCTATCGGGTTGTATGTGTTTAGGTTTGTACGCATGCACGTATGTGTGTTTGTATGCGTGTATAGATGGTTGTATATATGTATGTACGTATGCATATATGCATGCATGCATGTATGTATGTCTGGGTGCATGTATGTATGGATGCGTGCATGCATGCATGCACGCAGGCAGGCAGGCAGGCATGTATGTATGTATGTATGTATGTATGTATGTACGTACGTGTGTATGTGTGTGTATGTGTGTGTATGTATGTATGTATGTATGTATGTATGTATGTATGTATGTATGTATTTATGTATGTATTTATGTATGTATGTATGTCGGCGGTGCGCCGTGGCACGAAACCCCCCCCCCAGCACTACCGGGGGGTTTCGTGCACTACCGGGGGGTTTCGTGCAGCGCGCACAGGGGGTGGCCGCCGGCGGCTAGAAACCCCCCCCCCTTGCCGCTTTACCGGGGGGTTTCATCAGCAGCATTGGGGATCCCTGTCGTTTTACGGGGGGTTTGTTGTGTGGCAGGCCGCGGAGCATACCTGGGCTCCCCCCCCCCCCCCCCCCCCTGTGGGAGGGCAGTGGGGGTGGGTAGTGGGGGGTGGGTTGGGGGGGCTGGGCAGGTGGGCTCCCCTGTCGAAGCTGTGGCGTGTGCTCGCCTATTGTGTTCTCTATTCGCGTATGCTGCTCTATTTCCTCCTCCGCCGTCCTCCTCCTCCTCCTTCCGCCTCCTCCTGCTGCCTCCTCCTCTCCTCATCCTCCTCCTCCTCCTCCTCCTCGTCCTTCTCCTCCTCTTCCTCGTCCTTTGTAATGCAGATTGGGGCCACAAGCATGCGAGTTGCGCCGCAGCCTCTCGTATTGTGGCCACGAGCCCAGCAGTGACGCCCTGTGCGGTGGACATTGCATTATTTATGCGTGTGCGCTGTGCCCTTCTCGGTCCATCCTGCTGCCACCTCTGTGTGCATCACCCAGATTCTTCATCTATATAGGGGCTCCAGGTCCCCGAGGGGGCCCGGCCCCATTTGTCTCCATGTCGGCACCGGGGCTCCAGGACCCCCCGTTCCCGGTCCAAGAGTGCTTAGATGGCCTCCAAGACGGCCATGATGGCTGAGACCGCTAAGATGGCCTCAAGAGAGCCCAAGATGGCCCCAAGATGCACCCCACACGGCCCAGTATGGGGTCAAGATAGCTCAAGATAGCCTCCGAGGCGGTCCGTAGCCATTTTGGCTCAAACCATTTTGGCTCAAGCCACATAGCGTCTCAAGCTAAACTTGAGACGAGGATTTCCTAGTGTGGGGTCAATGTCCGACAGTCTGCGCTGGACCCCTGGCGGCGCCTTCAGCGCCGCCCCTGGCGCGCGTAGCGCGCAAGGGAGAGGGGTGCAGTGCTTATAGAATCTGAGCGGCGTCCAATCTCCATTATGATTCAGCTTGTTCTTCGCCGATCCATCCCATTCCCTTTGCCCCCCTCCCCCCAAGCTCCGATCTGAGGAACGAGAGAAGCCTGCGACAGGGTGGCGGAGTTTCATTGTTGGCGTTCGAATGTTCAGAAAGGGAATGGGTCGGCGCCTCAGTGTGCGTGCCGTTCGCGCCAAGGCGCGTCAGGCTGCAATGCTGGCTTGCAGGTGACGTCCGCCTGCAGGTGGCTTGCAGGCGCCACATAGCGTCTCAAGCTAAACCTGAGACGAGGATCTCCGAGTGTGGAGTCAGTGTCCGACACTCCAGAGTGTGCTGGGTCGAGCGAATCCCTCCAGATTGTTTACAGATCTTTTGGTTACCTATTTCTGTTGATGCACGGAGGTTTGTTCGCGGTATTGTTCGTTTTATTTGTGATGCACGTTTGCGCAGCATTTCTCGTTCGTTTTGCATGGCCGCCCGCTCTTTCAGTTGCGACCAGGTTCGTAGCATGACTCACTGTCGATGTTCAAGTGAGCAAGACAGGAGGCTGGAGGGACAAGTCAGCGAAGTCCGGAAATCCTCTTTCTTCACATTTGAGCGAATACATGCTGTCGCACAGATGTTTATCATTGTAGTCTGCCACCTCTGTGTGCACAAACACCCATATTCTTCATCTATATAGGGGCTCCAGGTCCCCGAGGGGGCCCGGCCCCATTTGTCTCCATGTCGGCACGGGGGCTCCAGGACCCCCCGTTCCCGGTCCAAGAGTGCCTGGATGGCCTCCAAGGGGCCATGATGGCTGAGACCGCTAAGATGGCCTCAAGAGAGCCCGATATGGCCCCAAGATGCACCCCACACGGCCCAGTATGGGGTAAGGATAGCTCAAGCTAAATTCTTGACGCTTCGCGTATCCCCACCAGCCCATCCAGAAACGACGCCCAGGCGAGCAGAGGTGATCAAGGAAGCGGGGCAGCATACAGAGGAACAAATTGCTGGGGAGGCCGTCGTACCCCAAGGGGGGGGGGGATGGAGGAGGAGTCGGAGGCGGAAGAGGAGGATGATGAGGGGGGGGAGGGAGGAATGAGGAGGAGGAGGAATAGGCGGATGATGATGTTGATGTTGATATTGATGATGCTGATGATGACGATGATGGTGGTGGTCTTGACGATGGTGATGGTGATGATGATGATGATGATGATGATCATGATGATGATGATGATGATGATGCTGATGATGATGATGATGATGATGATGAGGGGGAGGAGGAGGAGGATAAAGGGCCATCAGAAGAGTCAAAGGCCTTTTGCATGCCTCGCGGAGTCTCTTGGGATGTCTCTTGGGAGCCTTCCGCTCTTTCAGTTGCGACCAAATTCGTTGCATGACTCACTTTCGATGTACAAGTGAGCAAGACAGGAGGCTGGAAGCACAAGTCCACGAAGTCCGGAAATACGGTTTCTTCACATTTGGGCGAATACATGTTGTTGCACAGATGTTTATCATTGTATTCTGCCACATCAGCTCTGCGAGTGCCGAGCAGAGCGTGCGTCCACGTCATGGGTAGCGCACAGATGGCATGGTACCTCGTTGTGCTGCCTTCGCCCCCATGTACATATGGAGGCTCCCCCATGGGCCGAGGACTCCCCCATGTACATATGTTTCGTCCGGGGACTCCCATGGGCCGCCCCGCGCGCGCGAACTAGAATGTTCTTGATCGTTCTTGTTGTCCTATCGCTATTACTCTTTCTTGTCCCGTCTACGTTGGCCCAAGGTTGGATATTGCGGCCGACGCCGCGCACGATCCCACTGGCATGCGCCTTCAAGCAGTTTCTCTCGCGATTCTTTCTTTGATGGCGGCTGGGGTTTCCATTGGCCTCCTCGATCGCGCCATCGCTGATGCGCGGCACTTCGTCGGCGCTTTTGGGCCGCAGGCTACTTTCACGGTGAGGTTCGTGAGCCAAGACAAGAAGACGGGCCATAAGTTGCCAGTTCTGACAGCGGCCGCGCTGTCAGAGCAACTGCCTGGCCTCATCCACAGATCCCACGCGGAGGTGCTCCACTTGTTCGTCAGGCCCCACGGGGGGAACATCATCATGCTCGACGCTGACGTGTCCGTCCTGCCCGATGGCCACGCGGAGTGCTTGGCGATGGCACCTGTGGTCGTTGTGGCCACCAGCGGATGGGAATGCTCAAACCGTCAGTATTGGTACGCCATGGACCCTGCGGGGCTGCGGGGCGGGGAAGGCCGCAACGTCACACTCACCTTGCAACGCCTGTTGGGCACAGATCCCAATTCCACTGCGGAAGAACAGTTGGGTCGCATGCCGGGGTCCCTTAACGCCAAGCCGCATAAGCTATGCACGGCGCAGCTTGTGACCGTGTCGCGAAGTTTCTTCAACGCTGCCCGCTTCTACTCCCTGACCGCCAGGCACACGCCGCGCCTGACCGTCGACAGAGCGGGCGACGTGTCGGCGCAGATACCTCGCGCACCTGCCCAGTACAAGGCGTCATCTGTGGCCCACGACGCCAGCAGCTTGGACTGGAAAGCGTGCTGCGAGTTCTGGGAACTGTCGCCGCACGCTTCCCTGCAAGATTGCATCGCGGCCGTGCATTGGCGCAAAACTACAGCGTGGGAAGCTTACAGGGAGACGACCGCTAAGAAGGCCAGGGACAGGGTGCTCCGAAGAAACCCCGCCGCAGACACATCCCCGCCGCCGCCCGCGGCCGCGCCGCAGCCTGACGCTGGCCGCCCGCCTCCGCCGCCAAGTGCGCCGCCGATGCTCGTCGCCCACGCGCAAACTGCCGAACCTTCTTCGGGTTCCGGCGACGCGCAGGCGCCAAGCGGGGCCGCGCCGCCTGCGCAGCCACCAGCCCCGTCCAGGCCGTCGGGGCACTCCCCGGGCGCTGCGGAGCCAGCGCCTGCTACGCCGCCGGTGTCTACAGCCCGCGCGCTCGCGGCCGAGCAAAGCGGCCTTTGGCCCGCGGCGTCCTTCCGTCGTTTCTCGGGCGATTTGGGGCGCATCGACTCGTCCCCGTCCCCCGCTGCAAAACCCGCGAGCAACGACCCGCCACGGTCAGGCAAAGCCGTGTCCGAGGGCGGGGCGCCTCCCGACGATGCTGGCGCGTCGCCCCACCGCCCTCCGCCCCCGCAGCCCGCGGGGGGAGACGGCGCGAGCGTCGACGGCGCCGAGCTGGAGTGCGCCAGAGGAGCGTTCACGTGTGCGGGCTGCGGAAAGCATTTGGCCAAGACGAGTTTCTCCAAGACCCAGCTCAAGTACGGCAGCGACAAGCGGTGCGTGGATTGCGCTCAAAAGGCGCGCCCTGGGAAGGGCGTCTGCAGTGGCCATCGCCCGAGAAAGCTCAAGCAGTGTTCGTCTTGCCGCGCCGAGTTGGGGAAGGCATCTTTTGCCAGATCTCTGTGGCTCTCAGCGGATTACGAGTCCCGCATCTGCAAGGGGTGCGCTGCGAAGCCAGGCCCGCCCCCAGATCCTGCAGACAAAGTCGACGAGGACATGTTTGAGTCTCGGCCAGAGGCTCTACGATTCATCCTCACCTCGGCAAGTGCGCTCCCTTCCGTTGACATCCGTGCCAACAACGCCGCGCGGACCTTGCACGGCCGCTCTCAGCTAACCAGTATCGAGGTCGACGGGGGCCTGGCGGTGGCAGAGAAGCTTGAGCTTCTCCAGAAAGCGCACGATGAGGACCTTCAGCACAGCGGTGGGGCCGATGGACTGCGCCGGGCCCTTGTCGATGCTATGGGGGGCTGGACGTACCTCGACCTGGACGCCACCTTCTACGTGACGAGATGCGTTGCGTGTCGCCGAAGCACCTCTCGCGGAGCCTGCGTCGCAGACGCGCCGCTCCAACACCTTCCTGGGAAATTGGAGGCGCTGAATGTCGTCGGGCTCGATTTGAAGGCCCTGCCATTCACGCGCGTCAGGAGAGGAAGGAGAGGAGGGGGAATACGGGGAAGGAAGAGGTGGAAGAGGAGGGGGGAAAAGGATGGAAAAGGAAGAGGAAGAGGAGTTCGAAGAGGACGAACGGGATGTGGAGGACGAGCTGGAGGGCAGGAGGTGGGCAGAGGGAGAGGAGGAGGAAGAAAAGGAAACGGAAGGAAGAGGGTGGGGGGCGGGATGATGAGGGACGTTCGTTGGAGGCTAAAAAAGCGGAGGAGGAGAAGGGGGAGGGGGGGAGGAGGAGGAGGAGGAGAGAGGAGGAGGAGGATGGGAGGGAGGAGAGGGCGAGGAGGAGGAGGAGGAGGACGAAGCAGGAGCACCGAAGGAAGGGAGGTGGAGGAGGAGTGAGGGGAGGAGGAGGAGGAGGAGGAGGAGGAGGAGGAGGAGTTGGAGGAGGGGAGGAGGAGGAGGAGGAGAGGGTGGAGGGAGGAGGGGAGGAGAGGAGGAGGAGGAGGAGAGAGGGAGGAGGAGGAGAAGCAGGAGCACGAGGGGGAGGGGAGGTGGAGGAGGAAGGAGGAGGAAGGAGAGGAGGAGGAGGAGGAGGGGGGAGGGGAGGAGGAGGAGGAGAGGGAGGAGGAGGAGGAGGAAGAGGAGAGGAGGCGGAGGAGGAGGACAGAGGAGCAGGTAGCACCAGGAGGAGGAGCAGGAGGAAGAAGCAGGAGGAGGAGAGGAGAGGAGGGAGGGCGGGGAGCATGGAGGGGAGGGTGAGGAGGAGGAGGAGGGGGAGGAGGGGGAGGGCGGGGAGCATGAGGGGGAGGAGGAGGAGGAGGAGGAGGAGGAGGAGGAGGAGGAGGAGCAGGGCGAAGAGGATGAGCAGGAGGAGCAGGAGGAGCAGGAACCGAGGAAATTCGTTATTCCGCCAAGGCAATGCCGTCTTGGACGTTACTCGTGCTAGTGGACTTCGCCAGCGGGAAGTTGTGGACCAAGGACTTCGACGCTGCGCCTTCGGAACAAGACTCCGCGAGTTTGTCTGGGGTGCAGTCTTTCCTGCTTGACTGGGTGATGTCCGTGGTCAACCACGCCCCGACAGTGTGGTGGAGCGACAACAGGGGGCAGTTCAAATCCGTGATCAACGCACTGATGGAGAACACGTTCGGCACGGTCCCTGTGTTTATCCCGCCGGGGCATCCAGCGTCCAACGGCTTGACAGAGAGGATGAACGGTGTCTTGGGCCGCTTGGCGAACGACCGGTCGAAATTGCAATCAGTGACCACGGCTTTGAACAACGCCTCCAGGGGTAGGCACTCGTGCCCCCCAGAGGTGCTTTATCGTTTGCTTCTCCCTCGCCGCAGCACTCTCACGCACCAGGCGGTTCGGCAGCAGATGCAGGCCACGGGGGCCGCGAGCGCCGAGGTCGATCGGGGCGCATTCCTGGCAGCCTACGCAGAGATGGCGGAGAAGATGGAGGCCGATGGGGTGCCGCAGCACCTGATTGACGACCACGTCACCCAAGTCAGCACGATCCGCGACGCGATGTCCTCCAGGCAGCTGCGGATAGACATCGGCAGCCGGCTGCAGTGGTCGAGGAATTCGTCCAACAGGGGCATGGTGTTCTACACAGGCGACGTCGTGTGGATCCAGAAGAGTCAGGTCATGCTCCTTTCCATTCATTTCGACAGAATCCCCGCTGCCATTTCAGTTGTTCCCTCCCTTCTTCGAAGGCCACAACAGCAGGTCCCAATGACTTTGCTTGACATATGCTGGCGACTTTGGCGTGTACGAAGGAGATGTCGTTCGTGACAGCGTCGGCCTGCCCCGTGCGGTTGGTCGCGGCAGGTCCTGAAGAGGATGGCCAACCACACGCCGAAACGCTGAGGGCGAACTGGGCCAGGGGTGCCCGAATAGTTGGGCATACTAAGTCCGAGATCAAAGGAGGATCCCAAGACCGAGATAATGCCGATTATTTTGCACGTGTGTTGACATGTAGTTGCTTTAAGAATCCTTCCATTCAGAGTTGACATGATGTTGCGCGTGTTGTGATATGACCGGCAAATAACGATTTCGGCTCCTAGGGCGCTGGCGTCAGAATACTGTTGGCTATCCGAGTCACTGATCGCATAAAGGATCTCACATCCATTATGCCCCCGATCGCTGTCTCCCACTACGCTAACCTCAGTGGGCCCACGGCCACATGGCATAGCTATATGGTTAGCATGTACTGTTGTTACCGCTACACGATATCTCGGGCACCGGTCCCCTTCGAACTGGTTTTGGGGCCTTTCCTGCTCTCCCTTCCCCCCCGCTTCCTCGTCGCCGCGCTGGGCGCAGCTCTAAAAACTGTTCGTGTCGCCCTCCCGTTATCCTCCTTCTTTCTTGCTGTCATTCCACCAGTAATCACGAGTTACGCAGGAGACTTCGCGGGATCTGACTTTGAAAATTTGGCCGTGGTTCAATCCCGAGCCAGGGGGGGGAGATCGGCCCGGAGGTCAATACAAAACCTCCCGCGTACCTGGGCACTGCCCCCCATCGCAAACCTGAAAGCAATTATCCGTTCTGCCCGCAGGTCGGCGCGAAGGACATCCACGATAAGTACGAGGACGGGTCGTTCGAGATCGTTGGCGTCGCGGGGCCATTGCTTGAGGTCAAGCGCAAGGGGGCCGAGCCGGGCCAGTCCAAGGCAACGGTCCGGACCATCCACAGGGACAGCGCTCGCTTGGCCGTCGTGGACATCGCCAGCTCCCAGGCCGATTCCGCGCGGCCGCCGCCGCCCCCGGCGCGGAGGCGCACGGGGGCGTTGCCCAAGGTGATCAACATTCCTGACGACGGGCACTGCCTCTTCAGCGCCACCGCCTACGCCGCTAAGGGGATCAAAGGGAAAGTGCCCAGCGCGGAGCGGCTTTCCGTCATGGGCCAGGCATGCCGGCAGGACGTTGCCGCTTGGATCGATGAGCACCGCTCGCACCTCGTGGGCGACGTTTCCATCGAATTCCTCCTTCGGACCGAGCTCGAGGACGACCCCCACGTTGATGCGAGCGCCGAGTGGGCGAAGATCGCGCGGTTCATCCGGACCCCGCGGTACTTCGCCAGCGGAGTGGCCATGTACGCCATGGAACAGTTGTACCCTGTGTCCATCACGTGCTACGAGAGGGGGGCCCACGGCTTGCGGATGATGCGATCCCCCGGAACCCTTCGAGAAGGCGCCGTCGCCGTGCACTTGCTCCACAAGAACGGCAACCATTACGACCTCTTCCGCGAAGCGCCGTGCGTGGACACGCTCCTCGGCCCCGACATTTCTGGCCCTGTGTCGGAGGCCGTCCGGTCGAACAGTCGGCCCCCGCCAGTGCCGGCATCGGCTCCTGCTCCCGAGGCGAAGAGGCGACGTTTGATGAGCAAGCAATCGGCCGAGCCATCTCGGGGCACTGTGCTGCGGACCGTTGACGGGATGAGGGGCGCGAGCAGCGGCGGCAAAACGAAGGTCATCAAGGACCTGAAGCGGCAGGGCTTCGCGGAAGCGGCTTCCCGGAGGTCGCTCAAGAGGCTCTGCGATGAGAAAGCTGTTTTTCCTTCGCAGACCAGGCGCTCGCTGCGTAATAGCAGTAGGAAGTGGAGAGCCTTGAGGGCTGACAAAGCTCAGGTAGCCGCAGCGAAGATGCCCGAGGCTTCGCCTCATGCTGCCGACCCCCGTCATCTGCATTGGCAAAATGGCTACGGCTGTTTGGTGTCAAGCCAGAACAGGAGCGCGCTGCCGTGCGCCCGCGCACGGGCGTCGGCCGGCCGGCCTCCTCCCTGCCCGTGCTTCTTGCCATTTGCTATACGGATTGCCCATTGTCTTAGCCATGGCTCATCCCAGCCCCTCTCTCGCTGAGCATGTAGCCCACGGTATCAGTGTTGGAGATCACGAGACCAAAGTTCCTTTGGCATCTTACCACGACTCTCAGAGGAAAGACTATCACAAATGCGCGATCACGGCCGCCTCGGCGGGCATATTTTTCATGGCCCCGTATCAACCGTCTTACAAGCCTAACGCCACTACGCCGCGCTGGGAACTGGCCCCCTTCAAACTGGCTGGTTCTGCTCGTTGGCGGGTTGGCTGGCTGGCTGGCCACGTGATCTGTGAACGGTTCGGTTCGGTGAGCTTGGAGGTCCCATTGGGGAACCTGCGGGTGTTTCACTTGTAGGCGTTCCATATTTTCATATATCCATGTTTCCATATCTCTACACTTTCCTGCGCGGTTGGCAGGCGCGCTTCGCCACCCCAGACGACCGCCAGCGGGCGGCGCAAAACAATCCAACCTCATGCGTCGAGCTTCTCTTATCCAGTCCGATTCATGTTTGATCTTTGCTCCCTGCCCTTTTCCCGCCCGCCGCCGCCGCTGTCGCCGCGAAGAGGCGGGAAACAATGGGAGACAAGGGGCACGAGGAGGACGAGGAGGAGGATGGACGACGGGAGAGAGGAGGGAGGACGAGGAAGTAGGAACAAGAGCAGGAGGAGGAACGAGGAGGAGGAGGAGGAGGAGGAGGAGGAGGAGGCGGACGGGGGACGCGAGGAGAACGAGGAGTAGGGACGCGGGAGGAGGGAACAAGAGGCAGGTGGAGGACGAGGAGGAGGAGGAGGAGGAGGAGAGGGAGGAGGAGGAGGGAGGAGGAGGAGAGGAGGAGGAGGAGGAGGAGGAGAATAAAAAAAGGAGGTGGATGGAGGAGGAGGAGGAGGAGGGGGAGGAGGACGAGGAGACGGCAGGATGAGAGGGTGAGGAGGAAAAGGGGAGGAAACGGAGGTGGAGGATGCGAGAAGAAGAGAAGGAGGGAGGAGGAGGAGGGGAGGAGGAGGGGGAGGAGAGGAGGAGGAGGAGGAGAGAGGAGGGAGAAGGAGGATGAGGAGGAGGAGGAGGAGGAGGAGGTGGACGAACAGGAGGAGGAACTGGCATTCCTGTCGTTCGCACTACTGGGCTCGTGGCCACAATACGAGAGGCCGCGGCGCAACTCCCAAGGCCGCTGTGGGTGGAGTCGACGGCGCGGCCGCGTGCAGTGCCGCCGTGTTCCGGCACGGCTCTGGGATGCAATGCCGCCGCCCCGTCCCGGCAAGACTCGCGCGTCGGAGCTGGGGTTCGCGCGTGCCGGGAGCGCGCCGCTTACGGAGGGGTTGCGTCCTTACCGGGGGGTTTCGTGCAGCCTACCAAAGGAATTCGTGTTTACCGGGGGGTTTCGTGCAGGCTCGCACCGGGAATGGTTTACCGGGGGGTTTCGTGCAGGCTCGCACCGGGAATGGCGCCAGCTCGAAACCCCCCAGGAGAGATTACCGGGGGGGGGGTTTCGCTCCGCACCGGGCACCGCCGACATGTATGTATGTATGTATGTATGTATGTATGTATGTATGTATGTATGTATGTATGTATGTATGTATGTATGTATGTATGTATGTATGTATGTATGTATGTATGTATGTGTGTAGGTGTGTATATATGTTCGTACGTATGTATGTATATGTATGTATGCATGCATGCATGCATGCATGTATGTATGTATGTATGTATGTGTGTGCGTATGTATCCAATCAGGAATAACAGGTCATGGCGAATCCAGAATTGATACCAAGACCAATCCGGAACCCAAAAAAGGAAACCCAACCGCCCACCGAGACCTATCCGAAGCCCGGAAGCGGGAACCCGGAGCCCAGAACCGGGAGCCCGGCCAGGAACCCGGCCGCTTGCCGAAGTCGGCGGGGGATGTTCGCCCAGACCGATACGGAACCCAGAAACGGGAACCCATAACCCGGAACCCGGGAATCCGTCCGCCTACCGCAATCGGTCGCGAATCCTCGCCAAATCTGTCAATGTTCAATAGGACCCCTACAGTGCAAGTACTGATTAGGGGATCAGCCGATGCATCATCATCACCATTGTCCTCACCATGTTCTTCCTCACTTGAGCTTGCGAGGGTCTCTGTGCAAGTTCAATTTGACCAGGACGGTGTGAGCTCGCGCGATTTTAGTTTTTCTGTGCGCCTCGCTGTCTTTTCTCCTGCCCTTCCCTCTTCCTCCCCCTTGTCGCCTTCACGCGTTCTGCTTATTCAAGGGCCTCGCCAGCGTTTGGAGTCAGCACTGCGTACAGCTTTCATTGCGCTGTTGAAGAACAAACAAGGCAAGGGGAGGAGGAGGAGGAGGAGGAGGAGGAGGAGGAGGAGGAGGAGGAGGAGGAGAAGGAGGAGGAGGAGGAGGAGGAGGAGGAGGAGGAAGTAGGAGGAGGGAGGAGGAGGGAGGAGAGGAAGGGGGAAGAGGTGAGGAGGAGGAGGAGGAGGGAGGAGACGACGCTTGTTCTCGCAGAGGGGATAGCGGGGAAAGTGGGGCGGAGGATGTGAGCCTCAGCTGGTGGGGGCCGCGCGGGCGTCGGTCTCTTCCCCGCTCCCCGCGCCCCCCGGTGGGCAGTGGAGAGGAGCGGCCCGGGAAGACGAGCGGCGGCCCTCGGCGTCGCTGAAGGGGGAGCTCCCCCTGAGATCTGGGGCTTGCACTGAGACGTTGGGTTTCGTCGCAAAATCGTGGGCCTGTTCCTCTACAGGGGGAATCTTCAAACATTGTTCAACAATAGTCTGGGGACTATTTTGGGTATCTTTTGGGTATGTTTGGAGTATTTTTGATTTTTTTCGTCCAAAATCCC